AATATTTGTAGAAAAGACAGAGGGAAGCCACATCAGGTCGGTGAGAAATTGTCTGGGGACGGAATGCCTGGTCAGGATCAATTGTATTGCAGACCCTTCTCTGGAATTTGTTAAGAATCTAGAGATGCACAGGGAGGACTAGAACAGATATGGTAGCAGTGTCTAATATACAGACGAATGGAAGATTTATAAATGTGCAAGATGGATTCTGATAGTTTGATTCCAGCCCCATGATCAGAGACCGAATCATAACGTAATCCAGTTTACCCATCTCACAACTGTGACAAGAATGTAATTAAAGGTCGGTTTTATGAATATATGTTTTCCACCAGGTGTATAAATAGTGGTGTCAGGCTACTGACTGGAAAATGCCACTAGTACACAGGAGGCTACAGGGAGAGATAAATGACTGAGTACAGAAAGGATTGGGGAAAGGACGAAAGATGAACAGGATTCAAGAGAATAAAAGCTGGCAATTGACACTGCATTTAAATTTTTGAATATTGTAGTTATCAGGGAAGCAAGAAATCAGAAGGGAGGACCACGAGATGGGATGTGCGAGAAAAGAAACAAAAAAAATGTGGTTTTAATCAAAGGTTTCCACTTATAGCCCATTAATGTCTACCATCCCAAAAATTTGAGGGTGTTTTTTTTTAATTGTTTCCCCACAATGGGGGAGGGGTGTCCTTAGTAACTTTTTATTTGAATTAGCACTAACCTATACCTTGCAGCTCAGTGGGGTAAAAACTAACTGATCACATTCAATACTACAAAAGCAAAAACTAGTGATATTCCATCCACTCTGTGGAGACCCTGAATTTTGACCTGCCACAATGAATGACTGTCCTCTGATATAGACCTTGTGCCTTGAGCACCTATTAGGAATTTAGCTCACCCAAAACTCAAGTGGAACTCATACATATAATCCATCATTAAAGATGCTGGAAAAATGGTCAGTTCCCTGTACTGCTCTAGTAAGTACCCAACAGTTCCTGCTATTATTGTTGGGATAAAAAAAATCTTTAAAAAAAATAATCAGCATCCTCAAGCAAATGCTCCAAGGAAGACTGATTGTGCTAACATAATTACTAGAGGCGGTGATAAGTGTAATTTATGTTGTAGTTTTTTTAAGTTATATTTTGGAATGTTTTTTGATTTTGTTAAGAAATTGTACAATTTTATATGGAATAAAAGAGTTCTTTTATATTGGTTGGTTGGTTTTGTTTAGTGGCATATCAATCTCTATGGGTCGTTTAATACACTATTTACATTATTCGGACTATTGTCCTCATCTTTGTTGCAATATTTATTACAATGTTTCAGCTGTTGTACACTTCGGCTTTCTTCAGGTGGTTGGAATGTCATACTGAACCCTTTATTACGCTCACTGGGGTAGACTGTTCTAGTTCCATGTGCCATGTTTAATGGATGTCAGTTATCAGTTATCTCCTGTTAATTCCCCTCTCCAAGTTCTCCACTGTCTTAACCGGGTATTAGATTCTTTGGTTCCTGTCACTGGATCTAACTAACACCTTTATCCACTGTTCCATGTTTCCTTGAGGACATCTGTGTATGAATTTCTGGGTATTATAAACCTAATATCTTCAGCAATCATTTTTTACCAGTGCTCATATTGCAATTTTTGTTTTGTTTTGTTGTGATTATTGCTTTTCTCTTTTAATGCCAAAATCTATATATTTTGCACACAATTTTATGGCTTCAATTACAAATAAAATGTATTGTTGGTATTTTTACTATGAAAAATATATTTTTATATTTTCATAGTGTTTTGTTTTTGTTTGGAGGTTCACTATATGCCCATAGCTGGGACCCCAACAAATGCTACCACCCTGGGTCATGGTGGTCTTGGGAACAACAGCAATAAAGAGGCAGTTCCATGCTCCTCAAAACCTCCAATCACCCTTGCTGCCAGATGTAGTTTATCATCATACCCAGGGCTTGCAAGTTCTGATAAAAATTGGGGGGGGGTCCTAATTCAGATATTAAAAGTGGGTGGATGTTAAGTTTTAAAAATTCCAGTTTCTATACATTTATTTTTTTTAAACTCCTATAATATTTTTATTTTTAGATCTATTATCCTACGATAAACATTTTCTTTTGTTTTGGAGATGAGCACTGAGCCATATCCCAACCCAAACAAATCAACTAATCAAAGATAGCAATCCTGCTTTCCCTCCTGAGGCCATTGTACTGATGATGGTTGTGGGGGTGGCTTTAGGCTGACAACATAGATTATTCATTTGGAATAAGAATGATCTGTATCTATATATATATATATATATATATATATATATAAGTTATTTTACACATTATGCTATGTATATAGGTTCACTGAAAATCATTATGAAAGAACAGATACTTTTGATTTAATAAGGCTTTGAAATGGTCTTTATTTTTTTTTTTTTTTTAGTTTGTTTTACTAGCATATCAACCCTTGTGGGTCATTTAACGCTGGAAATTGGATTTTTATTCAATAAATTTTGGAAGTTGCAACTGTTATAATTCATGAAGTATAGTTAAAAACTGGTCTATAGGTGAAGTTGTTGGGCTTAAAGTTTGTTTTGGAGATGAGCACCAAGCTTTTAATCCTTCCATATCCTAACACAAACAAAACAATTAATCAAGGACAGTAATCCTGCTTTCTCTCCTGAGGCCATTGTGCTGATGATAAGGGTGGGAGTTTATGCTGACAACATAGATATTCAATTGGAATAAAATGATCTGTATAAAAAAAAAAAAACATCTTTCCAAAATAGAAACTAAGATCTTGAATTAAAATGAAAGCAGTGATGGCATGAACCCTGAAATCTATCATAAAAATTCAAGATTTGGAATGAGGAAATACCAAAAACATTAAGTACCTCAGTGTATGAATCAGTTTCAACAAATATATAGGGGACAAGGAAACAGAATATAGAATAGGCTGCACTAGAGATAGTTTTACATAATACCTCAAATTCAATTGGAATAAAATGATCTGTATCAAAAAAAAAAAAAAAAAAAAAAAAAGGACTCCAGATGAATGTTACCAAAATGTAATGATCTGGAATTCAGATGAAAGCAGTGGCGGCACATGCCATGAATCCATCATAAAAATTCAGGATTTTGAATTATTAAATACTAAACAGTTCAAATACCTATTAAGATTAAAATCTACCCTTACCTCACATAGAACTAATATATACAATCCATCACTAAAGATGCTGAAAAAAAAAAAAAACAGTTCCATGCCCTGCTCCTGTAAGTACCCAACTCCTTTAGTTATCATCTACCTTTACAAGAACCAGATCAGGCTGAAAATGGTATGCTCATATTGCAATTTTTTGCTGTTATCATAACATGTTTTTACCAGAGCTCATATTGTAATTTTTGCTGTTATTATCGCTTTTCTCTGGCACTCCTTATCACTGGTTCTCATATTGTATTTATTTCTATGCTTGGTTGGTTCAGATTTTTGTGACCTAACATATGTGCTGATTCCTTAAGTTTACGAATTTTCCAATGGTGTTCTTTGTCTATGATCTCAACCTGATCCCAAAGAGGGTGGTGATCTCCTTTTTTTCTCCACGCCTGATTTTTCCACATCCCCTCGTGTTACAGCTTTCTGGTGTTCTTGAAGCTTTAACTCTAGGAGGCAGCCTGTCTCCCCTTTATATTTCTTTCTGCAGCTGCACGGGATAGTGTACACAAAGTCTTTAGTCATGTTCTCCTCTATGGGGGGGGGGTCTTACTTGGGAGAGATATCTGCAAAGTGTCATCCAGCTTTTGAAGGTTGTCCTGATGTTACATGGACCGCACAAACAAAACGTCGTGATAAACATGGCGACAAAGATGAGGACAATAGTCTGAATAATGTAAATAGTGTACATAATACCTCATCTCAGAAATATAGATATATAAATTTACATTGATTATTTTCATAGATGAGTTTTACAAATTTAATAGCAATAGAAAATGTTGATAGATTTTAAAACTTCAATACATGTGCAGTAATTTAATTCATAATTAATTATTAAATAAATAAACTGAATTATACTTCAGTAGACAAAAGGTTCAATGGAATGCCAGGCGATTGTGATTCAATAAACAAAATTATGTAAATAAAAAAACAAGAAAAAATAAAAGATTATTACCTCCCGACCTCTGGAAACTCTGAAATTCCCACCGTGGGAATTGCACCCTGGTTGAGAAACCCTGACATAGACACTGTGCCCCCCTCCCAGACAATCATCGAGTCCTTAAGCAGGAAATGTGTACAAGAGAAATTGCTAAAAGCATCTCATAACTTTATGGATTTCTTTCACTCAATCATGAGAGAAGCTTCCAAAGGATGAGTGACACTTCGAAAGATGACATATAAGGATGGGATGCATCAACAGAAGTTTATACTTAAATTGATATTTATTAAGTAAGTGTCATGTTTGGGTTGTTGCGTTGGTTGAGATGGGTGGAATTTTTTTTTAAAAAGAAAGAAACACACACAATTAAACAGAAGGAGTGTGAGATGCAAAGAAAGTTCTTGAGAGAGAGAGAGTTGGGAGAATAAGAGAAGAGCGGGAGGAAGAAATAGAAAAATAGACAATGTGGGAGCTAAAGAGTGGGAGCATAACAGAAAGTATCTGTTGTAGAGTAGTTTTCATAGTGGAGGCTTGTATTTCAATAAGTCATCCTAAATTAGGTTCGACATACAAAATGTTAGGAACTTGAAATAAGAGTTAATGACGCAGCAATCTAGTTGTGATGGTTGGTACTTCAATGTCCGTCATTGACTGACTCGCTCAACACCACTGAGCCCCAACTGGCGACCGCTACTACTACTACTACTTATTATGTGTGGGAGAGTCTATTAATAATAGAATAGGTACATCAGGTATAACAGTATCACAGAGAGGGAGAGGAAAAGAGAGTAAAAAGTGTAGGTACAGAAATTAAGAGAGTGGTGAAAAGAGAGAGAGAGTAAAAGAAGTAGAGTGAGTTGTTTAAAGTGTGAGTAAGAAGATAGAGAGTGTGGAGAGGGTAATAGCAGGAAAGAGAACGGAGAGTAGAGAGAATAAATGAAGAATTAAGAGTGAGATCACAAAAGAAGGACACGGTATAGGAAAGAGAAAAAAAAGCATAATATAGAAGAGAGAGGGGGAGAAACAGAAAAAAAGATGAGTGCATGAGGGAGAAAGCAACAGAGAGAGTAGGTATGAAAATTGAGTAGAGTGTGGAAAAAGCAATAGTATACTGAGAGAGAGATTATAGGATAAAGAGAGAGAGAGAGAACAGGAGGAGGAAATATAGTAGGAAGAGAGAGAGAGAGAGAGAGAAACTGTAGACATATTTCCAGGTTTTCACAAGAGTTAGTTTAGATGTAGGTTCAGTTTGGTCACAAGCAAAAAACAGACATAGGTCCAGATAGCACCACAGGCAAAAAAAAATGTAGACAGGTCCATTGTGCCCTACAGGCAAAAAAAGGTAGACAAGTCCATTGTACCCCACAGGCAAAAAAAAAAGGTAGACAGGTCCATTTTACCCCAAAAGCAAAAAAGAAAAAAAAAAAAGAAGGTAGACAGGTCCATTGTGCCCCACAGGCAAAAAAAGGTAGACAGGTCCATTGTACCCCAAAAGCAAAAAAAAAAAAAAAAAAAGTAGGAAAGGTCCATTGTACCCCACAGTTAAAAAAAAAGTAGACAAGTCCACTGTGCCCCACAGGCAAAAAAAAAAAAAAAATAGTAGACATGGGTCTGGCTTCCACCACAGCCAAAAAAAAGTCAGATGTAAGTTTGGTTTTACCACGGGCAAAAGGGCAGGTAAAGGTTTGGTTTGCACTTGTGTCATTAGGTAGAGAGAGAGATATTTTAATAGGATAGAAAGAGCAGATAGTGAGAGAGAGAAAAAGAGAGAGAGAGAGAAAAAAAGAGAGAGAGAGAGAAAAAGAGAGAGAGAGAGAAAAAGAGAGAGAGAGAGAGGAAAAGAGAGAGAGAGAGAAATAGAAATAAAGAGAGAGAAAGAGAGAGAGAGAGAAAAAGAGAGAGAGAGAAAAAGAGAGAGAGAGAAAAAGAGAGAGAGAGAAAAAGAGAGAGAATAATAGCAT